ACAACAGGCATGTCTGCTTTGAGAAGAATTTCTTTCTGGAATCTAAGATTGCATTAAGGTGGAGAAGTTTCATTAACTTAAAAAAGCCTGCTGTGGGGCTTGAAGTGTGGCTCCAGTGGCAGAGCACCTGCCTAGCAAGCACAAGGTCCTGAGTTCAAACCTCAGTACCACCAAAAAGAGAAAATCCCCCAAAGCCTACTGTGTGGGCTGCCTGCTGACCCATCCCAATCCAGCCCTGTTGGGGGAGGTAGGGGTGGGGACTGGGGCTGTCCTGGAAAGAGACCTTCATTTTCATGAAGGGACATGGAGTTTAACCTCTGTGTGGCTGTCAAGACAATTCTGTAAGAGGATTTTTCAGGTGTTGGTTTGTGACTGTGATTTCAAAGTCTGCTCGTTCCCATAAAGGAGTAGTATGAGCGGTGATATTCAACATTCATTCCCTGCCCGACACAGAGTTCATATGGCCCTTTGTTGGAATTAAGGTTTATGTGTGGATCGAACCAAGTTTTGCCTTCAGACTTTGTAATTTTTGAGCACTTGTGGAATTATTTTAAAACTGAAAGCACTTGATGGCTTACTTGGAGGAAGGTTACAAGAAACTTTGTTAGGAAATTAGCACAGGTATTACAGGATGCTGCTGAAGCTCAGTCCTCTAAACGTGCACATGACCTGCTTAATGGAAAATGTCTTTCTCCCTTCACCAGGACATTCCAAAATTTCCTTGAAGCAGGTGACTTTAACCTCTTGGGCGTTGTACATCTTCTTGTTCTGTTCTGTTTCTTTTTTGCTTTGGCTGCTAGGAAGCTTAGAATCAAGTTTTATGTCTATCTTAATAAGGGCACAGGAAATTACATGTATGAGCATGCTTGCAAGCTTCTCCCCAAGACTTTTCCTTTACCCTTATTTTGTCATCTACTTAGAGTTCAAAGTTTTTTTTTTCTCCCAACTTATAAAGTATCACAAATGTGGGAGAGGTATAAGAAAAGAGAGTCGATAAAGCTCTTTTGCTTTATGAGGCCAAATAAGTAAGAAATCATTAAATTAGGCAGTCAATTAAATTCTTGGATCACCTTAGGCACCCTGAACCCTTTCTCTCCTCTCCTTCTGCCTCTCCCTCCCTCCCTTCCTTCTTTTCTCTCTCTCTCTCTCTCTCTGTCTCTCTCTTTCTCTCTCTCTCTCTCTCTCTCTCTCTCTCTCTCTCTTTCTGCAGTGCTGGGGATCAAGAGCTTTGTGCATGCTTGGCAAGTGTTCTGCCACTGAGCTACATCCCCAGCCCAGGGCTACTGATTTCGATGTGCTATTTTCACTTAGAATTATCCAAGACTGCTTTTTTTACAGCGGAGTTAGGGCACCTTTAATGTGCTCAGTTATAAACTCAGCCTCTCTGACTAGCCCCTCCTTTCCATAAAGGACCTACTGAAGGGTTCCTGGCATCCTTGCTTTTGTGTGTGGTTTGATGCTGACAATGACTGTTCCAGACCCCTTTATTTCGAACTATACTAGAACTTCCGTGGGCGAAAGGTAAATCAAGGCTTTCAGATGACAGTGTGGCTGCCTGTAGATTTTATGCTTATGTCCCAATAAATGGCACAGGGTAAACCCCACTGGATTGGAAAGTAGTCTCCTTCTTCCATCTGTAGGAAAGCCCATCATCCTGCTGCTGGAGTTCAGATTTTTTTCCAGATGAGTTATTTGATAGGATTTGAAGCTACGCTGCTGAACACAGGAATGTCTTGTTGCTTACCTCTTCTAGAAAGAGCAGAACACGGGGAGGGCTCCTCAGGGCAGCCCAGCTATCAGGAAGCAAATGCTGGCCCTGGCTCTCAGTCTCTCTCTAGCCATCTGTACCTGGGAGTCTGCTTGATTGGTGGGGATGGAGGGTTACAGGGTTATAGCAAGTTGGCTGTAGAGATGTTGAGGTTTTAGCACTGTCCGCTACAGAAGGCACTAGAGTCATAGAAAGTAATGACAGTTGAGACACAAAGGTGAAGTGTGGTTGTTGCTTTGAGGAGGTTTTCATGTTGGCAGGAATATTTTAGTGCCTGCATTTTATGCCCATTTGGTCTCCTTAGCACAGGAGCTCCTCGGGCAGGAAATATACATTGATGGGCTTTGCCAATGTCAAATTATAACAACCACAGTCGGTGGGGGGGGCAGGAAATGATTTTTCACTGTTGTATATGAGCTGAATGTGTTGGAGGGTGCTTTATTTCACCTAAGAAAAACACAAAGACCAAACCACAACCTAATCTTTAGAATACAAGGTCATTGCCAAAAGAGCAACTTAAAAATATTCCAGCTAAATGAAACACACCCAACCACATGGGTGCTTGGTGCTGTGACAACTCCTGAAGAATTCAGCCCCTCTCCCCAGGCTCAATGGCAGGACAGCTCTGCACTTGGCATCTTCACTGTCTAACTCGGTTTTCAATCCTTTAGGTCAAATTTAAACTCCTGGCAACTGCATTCAGATCTTGATAGAATCCCCAATTTTCCCCAGACCCAAAACCCATTCCACAAGAAACAGTCACACACAAAGACGTGAGCACACACAAATTCAAAGTGGATCTGCTCAGACCTCAGGGAAGAATGTGTAGAAAACCAGGGTGTTGCATAACTGGGTCCGAGCTTGTATGCATGGGGCTCTTATTTAGGACTAAAAAGGACCCCCCCCTCCATTTTCTCCTCTTCCAGAAGCTAAAATCACTATCAGTCTTAAGTGAGCCAAACAAATTGTTGTAAATGATGAAAAGTGGGTAAGTGTGACTATGAACACACAGCTCTGTTCTGTCCAATGAAATGAGGTCTTGATTTAGGCATAAGGCCAGCAAACATAACCTATCAACAACTGACAATCTGACACGCTGTCCAAAGGAAAAGAAGCCACTTGAAGCATTATCGCTAAGACATTCTAGGTGGCGCAGAGATAGGAACTGACCTCTCTTATGGAAATCGTCTTTGCTTGAGTATCCATATATGCATAAAAGGATGTCATTTTTAAAAGCTCATTTCTCCTTAACAATTGTCTGTTTTTAAAAAGCTATCAGCAGGTGCACCTCATTTCAAAAGCCTCTTGTCCTTCATAACACAATATTCATGACGGTTACATAGTATGAAATAAAAAGCAGCAAAACATAAGTGAGGGTGGTTCAATTAAACACAGCATCATCTGTAGGGAAAAAAAATAGCTCTGTAGCTAAAATCAGGTTCTGATGAAAGAAAAAAAGGGAAGATATTTCTCCATATTTTTAATTATATAGAATTTCCTCAAACATGATTTTTCATAATACATTCCATTAAGTTAACATCATATTTGAAGAAAGAGCATTTTCCGATTTCATTTGAAGCCTGATTTTGAGCAATTACAGTGTCATTGTTCCGTGGTAGAAAGGTTGAATTCATTTACTGTGTGGTTTTGCTGCTTATGATCGATGCCTCTTCTCCAAATGATAAACCAATCACCCCAATGATGTAATGTCATTTTAAGAGTGCCATAATCACATTTCTCTCAAACTAGAGGCTCTGATGAGTTCTAATAAAGATTTATGGTAGATTAAAGGCCTTCATAATATCAACAATGGATTGCTCATTTGATGAGAGATTTGATTAGGTAATTTTTTTGGAAAAAGAATATGAGTTTACTAAATATATCAGGCCTGGCTTTCGAGAAGGGCAGGGGCCAGCAGACGCAGCGGTGGACCATGCTGTGTATGGCCGGAGCCATCTTAAATGCATTTGGAAAGTCCTCTCTAATCGGAGAGGTTGAGGCCAGCGGTGGAGTCAACTCACGGGTAGAGCCCAAATGCAATCTCAAGGAGACACATTCTCGGTATTGAAAGCTTTCACTGCTTTTGACAGGATCTACTAATGAGTGGCTAATTCAGAAGACAATGCCAAAGTCTTTGGGTCAAGAGTCAGCAATTTGTGCCACCTTCTGTCTGTGGGCCATGGGTGCTTAATCCCTATGTATTGCCCTCTCCTACACTCACACATTCATTTGAGCATTTCACCCACAGGAGAAACCAAAACAAGACCCAATTATTGCTGGGCCCAGGGCCATTCCCTCTAAGATTTAGAGAGAGGGAGCTGACAGTGACCACAAAATCCTCAAAAGTGGGCCAGAACTTTTGTTGGGTTCCTCTGCTCAGTGACGGTGGAAGCCAAAATGAGAACTGTGGACTCTGATGTAGTATTTACCACAGAACCGCACGACCAGCTTGTTAAATTCAAGTGAAGTGACACATGAAGGGGGTCACGGCAGAGGTCACACCCCAAACACTCCAGACTTGGCAAGACATTCAGTATTCATGTCAAGGGAACACATTTTAATCACAGAATCATCTAAAACAAGCAAGGAAGAGAAGTCAGAAGCCAACGATCAAAAAACAAGGGATCTGAGAGGCACACGAATGGAGCGTGTGAAGGTGTCCAGGGTCACTGGGCTCTGACCAGAACGAGAGTAATACAAAATTCAATATTCCAGCATCTCCGGATACTTCACCTTTGAGACCAGCCTTCACTCCCATGCAGCTATGGGTAAATTCCTCCCACTGAAGGAGGCCCAAAGCCTGCTACGATTAGCAGAGATCTCTTCAATAACTGCGACCTTCAACAAATATATCTTGCAACTGCCACTGCCACAAAATGACAAAAGCACTTCACCTTGATGGTCCCCATACCACCTTCTGCCCAGCCTTTGTTTCACAGTTGTCATTTCGCTGGAGAATCAAGGATGCCATGGCTTGTGCCTGTAACCCAGTTTCTCAGGAGGCAGAGATTAGTCTTAGGCCAGATGGGGAGAACATGAGGCCCTAGCTGAAAAATAACTACAGCAAAAAGGGCTGGGGGCATGGCTCAAGTGGTAGAGCACCTGCCTAGCAAGTATGAGGCCCTGAGTTCGAATCCCAGTACTGCCAAAAAAAAAAAAAAGAAGAAGAAGAAGAAGGAAGAAGGTGGTTACGCACAACACAGTACACATTGAGACACCACAGTTTCCTTACCGCTGCTGGAGGCTTGCTGGGGGCCTGAACATGCCCTGAGTAGGTAGGAATTGGGGGAGAACTCCTCATCGGGGTTGGTGTCCATGATCTGATGGGAGGTGTTGCTGTCTAGCAAAGGCATCTGGCAGCTAACTGGTGGAGGATTATGGGAGCTAGGCAGCTGAGCAGATGGGAGGAGGCTAGACGAGGATGTAGGTGGAATGGGACGACCTGAGAAAGAGGACAGAGGGGTCAAAGGTCAGCAATGAGTTGCATGAGCGCATCCTCACAAAGTTACATTGAAACCAGCTCACAATGCAAATTTTTGTTTTTGTTGTTGTCGTTGTTTGGAAAAATGAAAGTCTCCAGATGTGTTTTTTCTAGAGTGGTTGGTGTTTCTCCGACAACCAAGTTCATCCTACCGTTAGTTGCATAGTTCAGAAACTGGCAGGCAGCTGGAATGAAATCAGTCTGGAAGCACCCAGTTCTTCCTGTCTCCTCTGCTGTGGTCCTAATGTACCCACCGTCTCAACCTAAGCTATCTCTCCTTGCTGGTCTCCCTACTTCTACTCTTGTTATACAGCCCATCTTTCCTTCCTTGTCCCTGTCTCTTCTCCGCAGCAGCCAGAGTGATATATGGCTGGAAATCAGGTTGCACCCTTCCCTAGTCTAGTGCCCTCCAGTGGCTTCCTATTGCAAGTGAAATCCTAGCTCCTAAGGATGACTTCAGGGTTGGCGGAATGGCTCAAGTGGTAGAGCAACTGCCTAGCAAGTGTGAGGCCCTGAGTTCAAATCCTAGTACTGCCAAAAAAAAAGGGAGGGGATGACTTCAGGGCTGCTTCTCCCACCTCCCTCATCTCTAACAGACCCTCACCACTTGCCACTTGACCCCTAATTCTCTAGCTAATGGGGTCATCTTTACTTCTCTTGCTTAAACATACCAAGACAGGTATTTGCCCTTAGTTTCCCACCTCAGTAGACACTTCCCCTCCCCCATCACCTGGCTAACAGTCACAAGCTTCCTGTTCAAGCAAGGCCTCCATTTTTGCCCTCTTGAAATAAGGGCTACCTGCTCTAGCCTGTCCACCTGTTTAGAGCACCTTGTCTGTTTCTCAGGCTTGTATTCCCAATTCAGCACCTGCTGAGTAAATGAACAAATAAATAGGCTAGACTAAAACCAAATCAATCAGTTTGGGGTAGAAATAGAGGAATGGTAGAAAGGGCGCCATATTTGCCCTCCAAAGAGTTGGCCAAGGCCTGATTCCCTGCACCATGGGGAATTTTTATGAAGAGACACATAGCTACTCCACGCTGTAAGGTGGAGCAGCCAGCCCTGCAGCACGAGCTGCCCTTGGGTCAAGTTCTCCTCCCACATGGAGGGCTGCTGCAAACTCTCCTCATGTTGCTGACAGCCACATTGCTGGGCGAGGGTAACTGGCATGTGTGCTCTCCCCTATCATCCCCTTACATCTTGGGGTCTTGGCAGTTGCTTGCCTGCTGGTTTGTTCGTTTGGAAAGCTCTGGAAAATGAGCTAGTAGGAGCAGCCCATGGGATGTGCCCTAAAGCTGGGGCGTGGAGGGAAGGGCAGGATAACAGGAAGGGAAATGAGAGTCAGATTACCATTTCAACTCAGGGCAGAAGTACCCAAACTTGAAGGAATGTCTTTGCTTGCCTGTAAGTGGACTATACATACAGAGACATTTTGGGGTACGCAAGTGTATGGCGATGTTTGTGGTGGCTTTTATAATTACATCCCTGATTTATCATCACTCAATGCATTAAATGGGTGATTAGGGTTCAATAAAATATATGGGAATTTGCCAGATAATGAGGATTGAATAGGAAGCCACCATCCCCGCCCTCAAACAGCCCACAGTCCAGTGAGGGGACAGAAGGGCAAATAGGTCCCTTCAGTACCACAGGTAAATAACAGGATGGTCGGGTGCCATGATGAGGTGTGGCTGGGGCAGAGAAGAGGTCACTTGGCTCAGCCTGGATGGGTAGGATGGGGGAAGGGTCAGGTGAACATTCCAAAACAGGCAACTCCTGAATGCATCTCTACGGCAGAAAAAAGTGAAATAACAAGAGAACTGGATGGGGAGTATCAAATCACCAACCAGTATCCCCTTTTCAGGATGGGGGTAGCCGAAAGATAGGAGCTAAGATACTCTGAAAGTTTGTTAAGGTTCCTGCCCAGCAATACAGTGGAAATGGAAGCGAATCATCTGTGAAATAGATCAACGAATAAACAGAGTGTGACTTGAACAATTCAATTCTTTCCTAGCTGTTGGGAGCAATATCTGGCCCAAAGGTCTTGCCCAATGCACTGGCTAAGGTGGACTGAGCATACAGAAGCTCTATCAGAATTGGCAATGACATTCAATCTGTACCTTCTCCCATGGATCTCCTTGTAATAATAACTTCCATTGTTAATATTTCAGCTGGTGATGTCTGTTGCACAGTAACTATCTGTCACTCACTGTGCTGGTCTGTTTTACACGTATCAACTCACTTTATTCTCACAACAATCCTATGAGGATCGACCTAGCATCTATTCTTCTAAAATGAGATAGTAGCATGCTCGTTCCCATTTTATGGATGAGGAAACTGAGGCACAAAGAGGTGAAGTTGCACAGCCAGTTAAGTGACAGGAGACAGGACTCAAACTTGGGTCTGACTATTCCAAAGCTAACCCTCTATCCACTTCACATGGTGCTTGCCCAAGTAGCATGACAATAAAAAGGAAGAAGTAACAAGAAAGGAGAGACATATGGGATATCCAGTTTCCAGGTCCCTTCCTCCCAGTCCCAAGGCATTCTCCAGGTTTCATGGAAGAAAACATGTCTCTGAATAGCTGTGGACAGCAGCTCTCTTCTGATGGAGTTCAAAGTCATTCTCATAGCCACCAACGTTCTTGTAACTTCGTTAGGAAGTTCAAAGTGGTTCCTTTGTAGCCATGTTGCTTTCTAACTTCTTCAAGTGTCTTGACCGTGGTGTGGTCCTGACCAGGTCCTGTGAGTCAGTATTGACGCCCACTTAGCAGCAAGGCCCTGGGAGGAACAGATTTTAAGTGCTACCCAGGCATATCTGGAACTGGATGTTGAAGAACAAGGATGGCTGGAAGCCAATTTTTAAATTCCTTTGAGTGACTGGGGTGGATCTGAAGTTCAAGTGCAATTTTCCAGGAGTCTGATATGATAGTTGCTGTGAAATCATTCTTTACATGAACTTGCTGGAATTTTGTTCAGCACAAATTCATTTCCTACAGTACAGACAGAGCCGCCTTTTATTTTCTACAAATATAGACAATGCACGAATGAGTACAACACAATGAAAGCACTGGGCTAACTTCCGTGTGTGGAGGACACACATCGAAGAATTTTCAGAATTCTCTTCTTTCTTAGCTCCTTTTAAGCCTCTATCTTGGCTTGCCGGTACCTGCCACTCTTGGGAGATTTCTTCATCCCTAGATCTTCCCCCAATCAAATGGTGTGCCATTCTCTATTTGCTGTGTCATTTGCTAATTTTGTTCACTTAGACTACATTTTCCCTTCCTACTATTCTAACTGACAGAGACCATCCGTATAGACACTCATGGGTTCCAGAGTCCAGGGAGAAAGCTGGATCTTTCTCTGGTTCACTTTATGCTGCCATTTCTTACTCAGTGTGAGATGGACATGTAGCCATGCACCAACCTGGTTCCCACTTTTGGAGATGCTCCCCTATCCCCAAACTATTTTGCAAGTTCCTTTTGGAATGGGTACAGAGTTCCCAACAAACCTACAGAAAGCCAGGTTGAACAGATCTGTTAAAAGCAAATGCAAACATGGAAAGACAGCAACACATCATTCATTAAACGCATATGGTCTTGTGTATGTGTGGGTATACACGTGCGTGGGTTTTCCAAGATCCCATGCAAATCAAAGTCGAACTAATTATCTGTGTGATTGGATTCCCCATGACCTTAAACAGAAGGGCTAATTTAAATTTTGCTAATTTATCTGTTTCTAAATGAATAAGATTTTGTGGTAGGTTTAACTCATAAAAACTGTCTGTTTAAAGGACCTATAGCCAGACAAAGCCATTCCATGATAAGCCTGATAGACTAGTCGTGGCTGTTTAGGAAGCCAGGTGGAGGAGGATGACCGGCTTCAGTGGGGAGCAGGGCCGTCATCAATGAAAGACCTCATAGACATGAACAGGGAGAACAAGCAGATGCACAGTGCATACTTGACATCTGGGCTCCAGCTCCTCACTCTTCTCCCATTCTAGTCAAGCCTGAAAACTTTAGCATATGCCATATGTGACTGAAGCAATGCTTCTCTGAGTTCCATTGTGCCTATTAGAGGACCACTGGCTAAACGTCCATCGTTCAACAGGACCAGAGGGCAACAATCTCCTCTGCACCCCCAAACAATAACCACTCATGGTGACACTGATGCTCCATCCAACTATTTTCAAGATATTCACCAATGTATGACAGGAGGCACATTGCAGATCAATGCCCCAAATTCACTTAAAACCAGTGGTTCTTTTTCGTTCAGAAGAGTAATGGCAACCAGATATTAAAGTGTTCTGTGTAGGCAATACGTAATTGGTTTATGTGGTGATGGGTGTCAGGATATTTGTTGGAACAGAGAGACATGCTCAGGGGACAGTGAAATGAAACAAAACAGAAAGCCGTACTAGGGTTATGACATCCAAAATATAGGTCCAATGACAGCACCAACAGTTACATACATAGTACACCATCTTGCTTTCTTCCGTAGGAACAGAACAAAATAGTTCACATATACTTTTCTCTTTTAAAATTCACCAATTTTCATGCATGAAGTCCATACTAACTTCTTCCCTATGTGCACATGAAGACGCTAAGACTAACTCCGTCCTGTCACCATGAGCAGAGCTGGGCTTTGACCACATATCTGCCTCCATACTACTGAATGGTTCATTCTGTCATGGCCCACATTAAAGAGTGGTCCATATATATATATATATATATATATACACACACACAAGATGTGAATTCCAAACTCATTGGTCCTATTCTGCAATGTACCATGGAGCTTATCCCAGAGGAGGTAATTAACCAGAGGTGGAAGCAAGATCCTTCCTGGACACAGTGACAGTGACCACTTACACAGAATGCATGATTTATAAGGGGAGAAAGACACTGTGGGGTCAAAAACTGAAAAATCCTTCATAGCATCCTAAGTCAAGCACTTCATAA